CCCAGCCAGCATGGCTGGCTGGGGAATTCTGGGAGTTGAAGTCCACACATGCTAGGTGGGAAAATCTGGGAACTGAAGTCCACACATCTCAAAGTTGTCGAGGCTGAGAAACAGTACTGCACTGTTAATTTTAAAAAAGCAAAACCCAAGGCCTCCATCATCTCAGGCACTTTAATCATGATATATTCAATTTACATCCTGCCCGATTCCCAGCAACTCTGGGTGTTCTTCAAAGATCAATCGAACATTTTTTTCTTTTTTTAATTTTTAAGGGAAAGAGGATCGCATTGTTCTACATGACTTCTCCAGGGGGTGAATAATCCAAATTCACACCCCGCACAATTTCTTTCTTCTCCTTAACCGAATGTGTTCTAATTCAGCAAGATAAACTTGCGTCAAGTTCATATTTGAAACAAGGACTTAAGGGTAGGTTCTCCCCCCCGCCCATCCCTCTGGGGCTGAGAAGGTTGGTTTGTTGGTAGGCTGGAGAAGGAGCAAATCTTTGGCATTTTCCGGAAAGAGACTCATGCCCTGATTGAGGCTTTCCAGCTGGGGGGTGCTTCACCTTTCCTCCAGGAAAGGGGAAAGATCGTCTGCCAGCATATCTTGGAAAAATTAACTATTTACCAAGCAGTTGAGGTTGTATAACCCGGTGTGTTATGGCTGCACTTGACAAAGCGACCTTTGCCTTCAGATGCCAGGCAGGTGGACTTCTCCCCCATCTCTAAGGACCGGCCAAGTGATATTTTAGCTGCAAGAAAGATGGAGAGTTCATTGAGAGACTCCACCAGCTTCCAGGCGAGAGACCTGGTTCCTCTCCCCTAGAAGCGGGATACAGACACCCAGCCAAAGGAGGAAAAGCCCTCCATCTGGCAGGGATAGCCTTAAAATCAAATTTTGACTGGCCTTTCGAACATCTCTTCCTGACCAGGTTTCCTCCGCGGCGCAGGGCTTCCTAACCAAGTGCTAACCGCAAGTTAAGCTCCATTCTGTGATCTTAATCAGTTGATTGGTACCCTCTGGCCGGCTTGCGCTGCAGCCTGACCTTGACCCGACAATTTTTTAATTTTAATTTTAATTTCAGTCACACGCAGAAGGCTTCTAACCGGCTCTAGCACATTCCTGCAATTGAAAAGCCCGTCTTTCTGAGGCTGGAGAAAGTAATATCCTATACCTGTAGGCCTACCTAAGTTAAAAAAAAATATGCAGTTTTGCACTGTAGCTTTTGTTGCAGAGGCCAAGAAAGTTCAGCCCGTCGTGTGTCCTCCTTTTCCTTCATTTGCCCTCTTTTCCAATGGTTCACGTCCTCCTTTGCCTGTTCAGATACCTGGTCACCCCACCCAGGAGAGGAGGGTCCCGGGAGCAGCACAGCTTGATCCTGGGGGTAAACATGTGGCTGGAAAGAGGACAACCAGGGGCACTGTTGGAAGACCTTAAGCAGATCGCATTGCTGCAGCTGACATCTTGACTTTTATGACCCCTACGGACACCTTTGGGCTGGCTGGGAACAGATGATCTTGGAGAAGGTCCATCTCCCTACACTGAGGATATGCTTTCTCTCTATGGCATGTCTTCAACTGGTAACACTCAACCCCAGCGTTTCTCAACCTCGGCAACTTTAAGATGAGTGGACTTCAACTCCCAGAATTCCCTGGCCAGCATGCTTTAAGATGGGTGGACTTCAGCTCCCAGAATTCCTGGCCAGCATGCTTTAAGATGGGTGGACTTCAACTCCCAGAATTCCTGGCCAGCATGCTTTAAGATGGGTGGACTTCAGCTCCCAGAATTCCCTGGCCAGCATGCTTTAAGATGGGTGGACTTCAACTCCCAGAATTCCCTGGCCAGCATGCTTTAAGATGGGTGGACTTCAACTCCCAGAATTCCCT